TTTTTTTTTTTAGAAGTAATCTCCTTTTGTATGCTGATATAATCCACAATTTTCTAAATTCATTGAGCTAAAGGACAACTTTTAGTCAACTCAAACTAGAACACGTGCAGTTAAATGTGCTTGTGTTGTTGGCATTATCATGGTAACTATTTGCTCTCTGCTTTATTGGAGCAAAAATGCATTCCTAATAAGATTGTTTACGTTTATTCATTGACAATTCTTTGCACAGCAAAGTTTTTATGTTAAGTTCTGGTGAGTTCATGTAATTCTTTGTGTCTGCTGATTGCTCTTGTAACAAATCAAAGTTATCAATCAACTCTAGGTAAATATACAACAGTTTCGACCTTTGTGCTCAATCAATAGGGGCTTACTCTAGCATCTGATTGGACAGAGCTATCACGCTCCTGTTACTCAGGAGCCCTCCTGATCCTCATCCTTACACATCTGCAGGAACACTGAGAGTCTTCAAACCCAGGAAGATGTCTCCAGCTTTGGCTTTGTTGCTCCTCAGCCAAGTAGCTTTATACACAACTGTAACATCAGTGAAAGGTAAAGTGAAGGAGGATAACTGCTCCATTTATACCATTTGTATTTTAGCATTAAACAGATTTGTTATGAGTTATGTGCTGCGAGATATCTCGTTTGACTTTCTGTCAATGATCGTGCTGTTCATGATTTAATTTGTGCATTTCATGCATGTGTGTTTATTGTGTGACGTTTTTACAGTTGAAAGCCTCATTATCTGAATAATAGATCCCAGAGTTTTAGTGCAGTGTTATATTTAAAAAAAAATACAAAGTTTAATGTTTAGTTGCAAAACGTGACCATTTCTATGCCTGATCTTTAACCAGTATGTAGCAGACCTCCGACCACTGATGGGATTGATTCTTCAACACTAAAACGTGTGTATGAGGTTGGAGAAGAGGTGACTCTCACGTGTGAACAGGGGTACTTGCCTTCAAGGACACCATCAGCCAGGATAACCTGCACTGCCACAGGAGAATGGACACAGGCAAACCTGGCATGTTCTCGTGAGTAAAAATCGTGGTTTTAGGCCGTGGGACCTCCTGAATATGTCTTAGACACAATCAGCAATAGCTGCTTTAATATCCTGCAGCTTATAATATTCTGTAACCACAGAATATTCACTGCTGTCCATATTGTGACATATTTTTCTAGCTAAGATGTGCCAGATCCCAAGACCTCTGCAGCCGTTTGCAA